AGGGCACAATTTGTGGGCCTGCCAAAAGCCCCATATCCACTCCTGTACTTCTATGCTGTGACTTAGTGTGCACCCCACTCCCACCTCCTCCGCCAATGCCGCTGGCCTGCGCAGCAAATAAACTACCCCATCCTGAGCGGTGCTGAGTTGGGGGTGAATCTCATGTGCCTCCCCCACCCGTGCCTCCCCTACTATTCACCTGTGATGTTCAGTAACTCTGAAAAGCAGGTCCTGTGCGTCTCAAATTGAGCACCTAAAATAGAGGCTACCTAAATCAGTACATTCTTCTGGAAATACTGGCCTTCCCCTCTTTGTACCTTAGTTATTCTAAGGGTAACATGCAGCTCAGTGTTTTTGGTTGTCTTTATAAAGATCTTTGAGTTAAGATTACATAAGGTAAATGTGGAACCTCCATCACTGGAGGTTTTAAAGAGCAAGTTAGCCAAATATCTTTTGTGAACCATTTAGGTATAGTTGACCCTACCTTGGTGCAGAGGAATGGACTAGATGACCTCACAAAGTCCCTTCCATCCCTATTTTCTGTGATTCTATCATTTATGGGGAAAAGAAGTGATAATTGCTACAGTAATATAGTTGCTTTATTTGGAAGAATTTCACACAACAAAGACTGTGATATCCATTTCTTAGCTAGCCCATGTTTGTGAGTTCTTTGAACTAAAAAGTAGACTCACCTTTAAGGTTGCCTCATCCAATGATTTTACTTCCTCTATAAGTTTCTTCAGTTCTTCAGGGGAAAGCAGAGAGATGACTGACTGTCCTGACATACCGGATGCTTGAGGTAAACAGTGTTCCTGTCTCTCTTCCTCTTTTCCATTATCTGCTAAACTCTCTGTGTAGTCTCTCAGCTCAGAGAGGCTTTCCAATTTTGAAAAGGAGAAAAGAAACATTGGTTTGTGATAACCTTCCCACTGTAGCAGAGAAAATGGCATTTTAGAACTTTCACCTTTGATCTTATGAGAGTTGGAATCAATTAAATAGTTCTAGTCTATATTAATTTATTTGTCTACAATGTCCCGGGCACTGTATAAATATGGCAGTAAGTGCTGTGGTTCTTCATGACAAGGAATTAAAAAAGCATCTTGAGATTTGCCCAAATCTCAAACATAACCTTCATGGAATTTATTTTTTTAAACAAACAAAAAGCTGGATAACTCTCTTAATTCTCATTTTAACGCTATTTTGGATTTAACCAGTTGCCCCTAAGAATGGAACAAAAGTTAGTAATGTACCAGACCCTTCTAAAAGTACCACTCTTGCAAAAAAAAAAAATTTTTGTTTTAACCACATTTCAAATTTGAATGAGGAAACCTCATTTAAATTTTGCAGCTATAAAAGTTTTAGCTAAGAGACTTTTGAGACACCTATCCAACCCGTAACCTTAAACCCTTTGACATTCACCCATTGCAAAAACTCTCTTTGTTTTAAAGAAAATGGTTATATCAAACATTCAATACGATAAGTCATGTCAGAAAAGCACGGACTAGATTGCATTTTTTTTCTGGCTGATGTAATCTTTAAAATTACATATTTAGGTACCACTGGAGGACATTTTGGGGAGCAAAGATTGGAAGGTTAGTGCCTTATTTTTAAAGTAACCTACCAAAACATTTTAATTCTAGTATGTTTAGCTCTACTTTTCTAGGCTTCTTACCTGGTTAGATATTTAGGAAAAGCAATTATTATAAATCCCAATTTCATAACCTGACCAATGCAAAAGAACGAAGGAAGACAGACCCTTTGCAGAGGGAATGAAGAAAACATGGGAACAAGGCTGGCTATTTCTCAGATCTCCTCCTCTACTAACCCAAACTGACATATCATGGACAAAATTACTAGCCTACATCTGTAGTGCCATCAATAATATCCCATAGTACTGGTATAGTAGTACATTATAGCCTGAAATGTTTGCAGATCAGAGGCATCAAAATCAAGGAGCTGGAGCAGGTGGATGGACCTACTTTCATGTCATCTCCAGTATTGGGATTAGCAACAAATACTCTTCACACCAAAAACCTAGGGAATTTTTTCCTTCACTCAGAGGAAGCTTAATAAGTAAAGTATATAACATTAAAAATGCATAGCAGCATTCATTTGAGTGATCTTCTACACCTGTGGCGGAGTTGCTAGGTCAGTCTACATATTACTAATCTGCAGCCCTTCCTGGAATGCCCAAGCCAGTGATCCTCAGCCTGGATACTGCAGCACCCTGGGGTCTCTCATGATCCTTTCAAGGGTAGCATAGGGTGCCATCCAGTGTTAGTACTGTTAGATGTGCAAACACAATTCACAAAATAAAACCAAAATTTTCAAATAGATAGCCATAGTGTTAAAAATGTTCTGACTTGTTACGGTCTTTCTGAGTTCTTTGCAATAGAATTGCTCTAGTAATTCTCTAGTGAAAAAATGAGGGAAAACTAAGATTGGCATTTTCTGAGGGGGGTCTTGAGCTGAAAAAGGGTTGAGAACCACTATCCTAAGCTCACAGACTAGCTGCTCTGTACAGAAAGCAGTTTAGTCTATTCACTAGCACCGCTTTGCAAGAATGAGTTTAAATGTGATATCTTACTTAAGAGAAAATCCAGTGTCTGAATGATGACTCTCACTCATGGGTGAGAGAGGAGCCCCATTTTCCTCCATGGAGGACTGAGATGACCCAGCCAGAGTGTCCATTGGATTGTTTCCACAATAGAGTGGAGACTGAGGAAGGCAAAGCAAAGATTTCATTAAAGCAGATGACACGTGGCTACTGATGGAATAAATGTTGCTATATTTTTCATCGTTTGTCTTCATCATCTCACAAGATTGGGTAGCAGTAAGTGGGAAGCTCCGTGTTCTTAGGCTTTGTGCTTTTGCTACTGGAGTTTCAGTGACTGGTGATGGTAGTAAACCTAAGGCAACTCCTATATCTGTGCTGCTGCTGCTTCTCTTTGGGACAGAGGGAAGTGGCTCTTTGGGAGAGCAACACCTATCTAGGCTCTTTGTGTCTGAAACCACAGAAGTCTTTGGATGTAACTGGCTGTTTTCAGATCCTTGATCTTCCATGTAGCTGAAAGTGGCTTTGTTTAAAGAAGCTGTAGATGATTCTGGCTCTTTTGTACAGGGAGAATTGTCTTTTTGCACTGATGAGTTTGGGCTAAGTTTTCTGTTTCCTTTTTCAGGGGACTGAGGAGCACTCAAAGTTTCAAAGGAGCTTATTCTCTGTTTTATTGATGATCCTCTGGGTGAGACCCGGGATAAACTAGAACCCAGTCCTATACCGGAAATACCCTGAGGGTCAGCAGAATTCTGATCTGCCTGTGGTTTTGTATCTGAATGTGCCTTCCTCAAACATTTTAGACTTTGGCGAAACCAGGCTGGCTTGGGTGCCACTGGAGGCCCCTTCTTCACGGAGTCGTGTTCAGGTGACTTGTGTTCTTTTGAACCGGCTGCTTCTGTTTCCGATTTCTGCAGAACTGCCTCTGGACAGCCTGTGTTTTGACTTTCTTCATTTGGGTTGCTGTTGGCTTGCAAGTCTATGTGGCTGTTATCTTCACTCATGGTAGGATTAAACAAGCTCTTTATGCAGTCAGAAATTCTAACCCAGGGGTCTTCCGCTGTAGTATCAAGACCGTAATCTACCCGTGCTTGTCTTCTAAGTACAGGCCTTTGTATTGATGAGAGAGGATTTCCTGTATTATAAAAACAATTATTGTAGACACATCTCCTTTTAATTCTCCCCATATATCCCTTTCAATGCATTGTTATTTTACCACCTGTGACACAAAACTCAAGCCTCTGTGTAGCCTTTTAAAAGTTACAGATCTCAATCTAGAAATTCTGTTTTACTGTAGCCGAGATCAGCTTGTACTGACATTAAATTTTAGCTGCATGCAAAGGAGGCTCATCAGTGCAGTCATTTGCTCAGGGTACATAGATCTTCTAAAAATTCCTTGTTGTGCAGATGTTGTGCATGCTGCAGCACTGGAAATGGAAGACTATGTTTACAATCTCACTAACAGACAGAACAGGCTGGTATCACGGCTGACTAAAAAAAGTTATTCTTACCTCTTGCCTTGTATACAATGTACTTCCAATTTAAACACTTTCTCTCACAGAAGCCTGTTTCTAACGAAGTGTCTGCATACCCCTTGGTAAAAATTGCACAAACATTTCCTGTTGCGTTTTTCTATTGTGTACAATTTTAACTTGGGTTATAGGGTGCTTTGTACCTTATCTAATGATTAAGCTTCACAAAACTTCTCACCCTTTTCTTACTCAAATAAATTATGCTTTCTTTTAATTTCATTCACGGTGGGAATGGGAAAAACATCAGTTGAACTGTGAAGGCTAACCCATTTAATTTTCAAAGGCTACTTCAGAAAAGCATAAGGAGTGAAGAATAAGAGAAAATTCCCATGGGTAGTTCATCTGTATGTATTAGAACCATTTGGGCCTATATTAAGAGACTTGGTGAAATGAGGTGGAGTTTTCAGGGAGGGAGTATGGGTATTATGGTGGTCTGCTTCAGTGTAAAACAATGAATACTTAAGGAACTCAGCATTTTACATACTCCTAGTCAACAGTTAATTCTAACCAACTCTACAGTTCATTGACTTGATATCAATTGTCTGTGACCCTGTTCCAGTTTATTTTTGCAACTGTAAATCAAAACTATATTATAAACCAATTCAGTATCAGTTTTAATATAAATAATAATATAATTAGGGGAGGGCTTTTTTAATAGACTGCCAATTTGGTTTTTTGGTGTAGTCTGCACTTTTTGTTACATGAGATTAGTTGCAATTTATGATTGTTCACCCTAAACCTTACCATTTTGTGGCAGTCTATTTTTTAAAAATAAATTAAAATGGATGTGAATCTCATTTTATTCTTCCAACTATTTACACTTGTAACAGTACACTTGCTGTTAGTATCAGTATATAAATGGAATGAAACATACCTGGGTTTGCTTTCCTCACTTGGTCTCTATCTGCTGAAAATGCAGCTGTCTGTTCAGTGTCTCTTGGTGCTAGAGGAGTTGCAAAGAAGCTGTGGGTTATAACTGTTTTATTTCCCTGTAGCAGTAGGTCTCC